GAAGGAAGGAAGGAAGGAAGGAAGGAAGGAAGAAAGAAAGAAAGAAAGAAAGAAAGAAAGAAAGAAAGAAAGAAAGAAAGAAAGAAGAGAGAGAAGAGAAAAGAAAAGATAATCCTTTCCCAGAGGCCCCAGCACTAGGGTTCTCTGCTAAAGCTCAAAGCACTGATTCTAAGGAACTTGAAGACAAGAAGTATCCAGTCCTTGAACAACTGGAAGAGACTGGAGAACATTGACGATGTGGAGACCACAACAGCTCTCTTCATCTCCTTGTAGACTTACGGGAATCACTGCCCCTGACTTCAACCGTTTGCTCAGTTGCAGGACCTGTGCCTCTTTGCACAGTGACCACACTCCTCTAACCTCACTTGTCACACCACCCACACCCAGGTCCCAGGTAGCTTTGAAAGTGGAGTGTGTCATCAGAAGTGTGGTTCTTCAAGGCAAAGGGTGGGACTCATGGCCAGTCAGTTATGGCAAAACAGATCAGGGCAGGCAGGTCAGCAGTGTGGGCATGGGAGAGTGCAGTTTTTCTCCATCTAGTAGAAGCGGTTAGAATAAATTTTCCATTATGTAAGAAGTAAGTGTGTTTTTGCAGATGGCCCCAGGGAGTCCAGAGCTGGTTGAATATGGGTGTGGGGAAAGGCAGTGAGGCAGTAAACCTTGCAGCTGATGTGGTAAAAAGATCCAACAGCCCCAGAAGAGGAAGAACAATCTAGTCAGCCCTAAGAAAAGTTAAATAAATAAATCATGTTTAGATAGACTTTCACCCCTAAAACTTCATACCAGACCTTCTTATTAGGACAAAAATGGCCTTTGAAAAACTATGATAATTTTCCCTTCCCTTACAACCCCTTGGTTAAAAACTCCCCATGCCATGTGCACTGGTCTTTACAGAACCCCACCTCAATGCAGAGAGCGAGAAGGCCTCTGAAGGTATCACATGAAGATTGTTGTGTGATATTTTGTTTGTGTCCTGACAAATAAAGCTTGCCAAGCAAAGTAGCAGCCACCAGAGAGTTCTTCCCTCTACCAAATCTCAGACCAAATGAGGGCAACAAGATCCTGTCTCCATCCACCATAGATTCCTGTCTCTACCTCCCTAGTGCTGGGATTGAAGATGTGAGCCTCTCATGTGCTGGGATCAAAGGCCTGAGCCTCCCAAGTGCTGGAATCAAAGGCATGCACCACCACCACCTGGCTCTGTTTCTCTTTTAGACTGGTTTGATCTTGTGTAGCCCAGGGTGGCCTTGAACTCATGATCTTCCTGCTTCCTCCTCCCAAATACTGGGATTAAAGGTGTGTGCCACCACTGCCAGGCCTCTAAGGTTAATTAGTCTAGCTCCACCCCTCTGATCTCCAGGCAAGCTTCATTTGTCAGAACACAAACAAAATATCATACAACAGAAGAACATGTTCTTTATACTTGATGATCCACTTAGCCTTGGGGAAATTCACACGGTTGAACCTTGATCAATGAACTATTCTGAATAAGTGTGAAACCCCCATGTCAAAGAAACTCAAAGAAGCAAGAATAAGATGACTATGTGCTGGGAAAACAGATACAGCTCACAGAGCTAGTTCTGTTCTCCAGATCACCTCAGACTACTCACAAGGACATGGGACAAATCCCAGCTCTCATCCATCCTAAGACCAATTAGTCCTTTGCAGCTTTCCTCGGTTCTTCTTGGCTTGTCACCAGTGGGCCAATATAGCTATTTTAACAGGACTCTTTTTTGTTTGTTTTTATTTATGTATATGTGTGTATACCTGCTTGTCTGTATGGGCACCAAGTACATGCAGGTACACTTGAAGTACAGAAGTGAGCACTGAATCTTCGGGAACTGGAGTTACAAGTGGTTGTGAGCAGGCTATGTGAGTGTTGAGAATTGCACCCTTGTCCTCTGCAAGAGTAAGTGCTTTTAACTGCTCAGCCATTTCTCCAGCCCATTTATTTTGTGTGTGTGTGTGTGTGTGTGTGTGTGTGTGTGTGTGT